ACAGTGAACCCATAAAACCAGTTCACCTAGGAAGGGGAAATCACCTACTTGCTCCCAATGGGGGGAAGTAGGTGATATGTAAGCCTCCACTCGCTGGCAATTTCTTCTGGACACTGAGAATGACAAAGAACCTAGCACCTGTCAGCATGTGGTATCAGTGGTTTATGAGGGGGGGTGCTCTTTTAGGCACAAGCATCCCCAATCATTGCAGGTGAGCTGTGCACTCACCACTTTCTTGCTATGGTGATATCAATCCACATGCCTGGTGTGGCGGGCTGATTAATTATTTTTTCATTTAGCGCTGGAAAGGGCAGGGCACCATGCTATTTTATATTAAAATTTGTTTTATGAAAGAAATAACCATACAACTGCTGAACCTAGTTTAAAAACACAATTTCAAAACTCTATAGATAATCATTGTGTTTTTTAGTTATTAATGCAATTATTTGGCTGTCAGGAACATCATGCTAGCCATGAAGCTCATGCATGTGCGCATAAGCATGCCCATATTCATGTGCAGAAAGGTCTAAGCAGATGCGTGATTTTGCATACCTGTATGCGCATTAGTATGTGAACACCGTGCATGCATGTCGAGCACAGATACTGTTGCCAAGTGGACAACAAAAACATAAGTTCTACATAAGCTCATTGCCGAATAGTCTTTCAGTTTGTGTATTTGTGTGATACCTGATCCTGAAATTGCACCTGACCTTCACTGCTGACCCATATTCCTGTATTTGCTCATGTCTGCTGTTGACCTCCGTTAATGGCCCTGACTACTGACCAAGATTCTGCTTACTGACTAGTACCTCTTGTCTGCAAATTGGCAACCTCTGCTTTTTGCTGACCTTGACTCCCCTTAACCACTTGACCTCCAGAGGATTTACCCCCTTAATGACCAGGCCTCTTTTGCCACTCGGCGCTGTACTAATTCAACTGATAATTGCGCGGTCATGCAATGCTGCACCCAAACAAAATTTACGTCCTTTTTTTCACACAAATAGAGCTTTCTTTCGGTGGTATTTAATCACGCTTTTTATTTTTCACGCTATAAACAAAAAAAGGCCCAAAATTTTGAAGAAAAACAATATTTTTTACTTTCAGCTATAAAAAATATATAGTAAACTCAAAGTTGGTTATAAATTTAGGCCAAAATGTATTCTGCTCCATGTTTTTTGGTAAAAAAAAATCCCAATAAGTGTATATTGATTGCTTTGTGTGAAAGTTATAGCGTCTACAAACTATGGCATAGATACTGCAATTTATGCCATTTTTTTGCTATACAGCGCTGCGCTAAATGGACAATTGCGCGGTCATGCAATACGGTACATAAATGAAATTTACATCCTTTTTTTTCCCCCACAAATTGAGCTTTCTTTCGGTGGTATTTGATCGCCTGTGCGGTTTTTATTTTTTGCGCTATAAAAAAAAGGCTGACAATTTTGAGTAAAAAAAATATATTTTGGACTTTTTGCTATAAAACATGTCCAGTAAAAAATAAATTTAAAAATCAAATTTAGTCATAAATTTCTGCCAAAATGCATTCTGCGACATGTCTTTGCTAAAAAAAAAACCCAATATGTGTAAATTAATTGGTTTACGTGAAAGTTGTAGCGTTTACAAATGGCAGGAAAGATACTGGGATTTTTTGTTTTTTTTTATACTAATAATGGCGGCGATCAGCGACTTATGGCGGCGATCAGTGACTTATGGCGGGACTGCGGCGGACATTCTGACATTGGGGGGTACTGACTTGGGGTCACTGATATCCCCAGTGACACCAATACAGTGATCAGTGCAAAAAAAAACAAAACACTGACAGTACTAATGGCACTGGGGAGGAAGGGGTTAAGTTTATTTTTCAGGGAAAGGGTTAACTGTGTGAGGGGAGTCTTTTACTAGGGGGCGGGGGTGTGTACTGCAGGGGACACGGCTGATCGGGAGAGAGAAACTCTTCTGTCCCAATCAGCTTGTCCTGGAGCTGTCAGGGAACTGACAGAAAGCACAGCTACTGCAGCTGTGCTCTCTGTCAGCGATTGCCGCAGATCGCCGGGACATAACCGGTAACGACCGGCTGTGACCCGGCGACTGACATCCGCAACTGTGATCGGCGGGACAGGCAGGGCGGCAGCGCGCCTCGCGCGCGCCCCCTGCCTGTTCACAAAACACACATTTTAAAACGTGGTTTTGCCCAGCTGTGCGCCCTGCTGCCGTATTTATACAGTGGCTGGGCGGCATGTGGTTAAAGAGATTGTAAAGGCTCATTTTTTATTTTATAAAAGTAACATGTCATACTTACCTGCTCTGTGAAATGGTTTCATACAGAGCAGCCCCGATCCTCCTCTTCTCTGGTCCTCCGTTGGAAGCGGCATCCTATCATGGCACACCTGCTTACTTGATCCTACGATTCTGCTCTCCTGCATATCTCTGGATTGAAATCAGACTCAGGTGAGTATAAGGTGGAGCTCAGGGGAGTTGCAAAAACCTTCTGCCTTTACAACTACTTGTTGTACATTTGGTACATCGCTGCTCACTAATTATCATCCATGGCTTGTGATCCAACTCTTCTCATACATGGACTTGGTGCATCCCCTGCGCATTAGCAGCTTTAGTTCTGCACATCCAGTTCCAGTGCTTTCAATTTCCAGTCACTAATTTCCACAGCCAGGCATTTGTGCTCTTCTATCACCCTTGCAGGTCCTTTTTCTACTTCCAACCTGCCTCTCCACCTCACCCAATCAGAGGATGCTTTGCATTCATTCAGACAATGCAAAGCATTCTTTAAATGGCACTGTTGCCAGCTGGTTGACATTCTGTGCTGAGAATTCAGCAGGGTAACCACTCAGCTTGGGACCCAGAAGCAAATGGAGATCACTGAAGTAGAGGCGTCTACTTCAGTGATTTAAAATTTCTAGGGAGAATGGCCAGGTATTTCATATGCATATCTTGGATCAATATAACTATGTATAAAATATCCACAGCTGGAATTCTTAGAGCCCCTTCATACTGGTCTGTTGAAAAACGAATATTGCTTTTTTGTTGTATTTTGGTATGTTTTCTGGTTGTCTAACTCCCAGCATGTGACACGCGACTCAAAAACACAACCGTGGTGCATTTCGATGTGTTTTTGATGCATTTTTTATGTGTTTTACCTTTATTTCAACAGGGCACCAAAGATGCAGCATGAAAGATTTTTCAAAATGTGTCGCACCCGCAGTGCACTGGTGCAAAGAGTTCTTAAAAAATTTAAAGGAAATCATTTTACTGAGTTTTTCCTGCACTTTCAGTGCAGCAAAAAAACGTATCAGTGTTAAAGGGCCCTTAAGATGCCTCAACCCTAAAGAAGCAATGGTATGTTAAACATGCACTTATTCTCAAATCTAGTGACTTCAGCTGAACTGTACTTTCTCTTTAGGTGAAAAAATAGATCAATTTTAAAATGCAATGTACCTTTTAAGCCTCTGCCATCGCCCCACACCCTGTCCGTTACTGACTGTACAACCTTTAGGGTACAAGATTTGTTTCCATGGAAACATGACAGTATGACCCTGATAGTCCGTACAGCTGCAGGTTCTGCCGTCGGATCTGAAACCAAAAGGCATATAGAAAGATAAACATGTATTCTAGAACATATACTTTTACAAACCCTCTCTTGACAACTGGAATAAAACTGGTTAAAACCATTTCAGAGGACAAGGAAGAGTCCACATCATCTAATGACCCTTGCTTTCATTTAAATTTAGGTGATTTAGTGTCAAAAATATGATTAGGAAAGACAGTCCTATTCTGCATGTCTTGTATAAGTGTTTCAAGGGATCCACTGCATTGTGACCCCGAGTGACAAGGGGGATATATAGAGCAGGGCTAAGCTTTGTGACGGAATGAGGTCAGTAGGGTTTCAAAACTAAAGGGAGATTGGAAAATAATACAACTACAAAAAAATACACTTGTTTGGACATAAGAACGTGCTATAGACTTCAACCCATATTCTGACAAGTGATTGGAAAACAACAGATATGAGACATTGTTACAGAGGAACTCCAGTTAGGATTACAGTAATGGCTCATTCACATGTGCGGTTACACTGCTCCTCCGAAAAGCGGTCCACAGAGGATTGCTTTTAAGATGACATTTAACAAGTGGTGAGGAGGCAATATGTCACCTCCTTACTGCTTGCTTTAACCCTCAAAATGCTGACCCACTGCACCCCAATCAGGGGCGGACTGACCATTTGGAAACTCGGGCACTGCCCGAGGGCCCGGGGTCAGTAGGGGGCCCCATGAGATGCCCTGGTACCTTTTTCATAGGCTTTTTTGAGTTTGGGCAAGGACACAGGGGCCCCATGATCCTATATTGCCCGGGGGCCCCATGAGTTGTCAGTCCGCCCCTGACCACAACCATGCGCATTGCATGCAGTAGCAGGGTGGTTGCAGCACAGCCCCTTTCACTTGAATGGGTTGTGTTTGGTAGCAGTACCGCCTGCCAAAAAGTGACATATAATTTGATTTTTGCAAAGCGTGGCACACAATGTGTACAGCCTTGAGCAGCTGCATGCCCTAGCTTAGGTGGGCAGTCGGGGGAGGTAAAACTGTGGCTCAACCACCTGATTTTATAGCCCCCTTACCCAGCCGCCAATGTGAACAAACCCTTATTTGAAGAAAAGTGCTTAGTTTTTACTTCTTTTCTGTGTTGCTGTGCCATAAACTACTGCACCATGCTCCCTATATAGCAATACTGTTTCAGAGACAAAACTGAGATACGTTGTGGTAAAATGTGCATCACTACAATGCTTGTTAATACATGTTACAAGCGTATGCTGTTGAAGTGCTATTCATTCTGAATGGCACCTTGGGGAACTAAGGCAGCGACAAAGAAAGTTGCATTGCAGTGCACCACATCCCAAGGTAACACACTACCATGTGTTATGATGTCCCTTTATAATGTACAGTGCTGAGCAAACTGTTGGCGCTATATAAATACTGTATAATAATAATAATGATGCACTGCAATGCCAAAGATGGTACATTTCCATTTCTCTGACACTTTGCTGGGTTGCCAGCCTATTCATGTGAATGGGCTGTCTTAATACAATGTGAGTTAATGCAATGCACCAGGAAGCCAATGTGTGAAAACTTGCCAGACAAAAATTGTGACAAAATTTTTACTTTTTACAGCTGCTTACTGGGAGTATTTGGTGATATTTCTATTTCTAAATACGATAAATGTCTGTTGCGGATATTATACTTCTATGCAAAGAAGACCATCCTACTGACATGGAGGGGACCCTCTTCTCCTTCCATTAACACATGGTTATAGTCATTGCTAGCCTGGTGATGTTAACTTTACTATTGTCTTTATGACAGCACTAAGCTTTGAATGGTCACTACACTACCCATTGACTGATGGTTGTAACCCTGTAAGGAGTGTATTTGATTACATGACTGTCTATGTTGCCTCTACAGATTTTACCTCACTTCCTGTGTGCTGAAACCATCATTGTCGCAACTCTAAGTGAGGGGAAAACTTACTTAAAGCGGAGCTCCACCCAAAAGGGGAAGTTCCACTTTAAGGACTGCTCCCCCACTCCCCATTAAGGATTGGCACCTTTCGGGGGGGTGGGGGGGGGAGCGGGTATCTGAATTTGACAGGTAACCGCTCCCATTTCCGGTTTGATCGCCTAGGTGATTGGAAACAGAAGGTGTCCTCCCTCCATCCTTTCCTGTAGTCTTTTGGGACACGTGACAGGTCCCAGAAGACTACAGGACCATTCATGAAGCGCAGCGCTACTTGCACATGTGCAGTGGATACCCAGCTGTGAAGCCACAAGCTATCACAGCCGGGTGTCCACACTGAAGTTGCCGGCCTCCTGGAATCCAGGACGGCCGGTGAAACGGGCTGCGGGGGACACACCACGGGACCGAGGGACAGGTAAGTGGCTGTTTTTTAAAAGTCAGCAGCTACAGTTTTTGTAGCTGCTGACTTTTATTTTTTTGATAGGTGAGTGGAACTCTGCTTTAATCCTTTGGCGCTGGCCGCCTCCGAGTCCTTTAAGGGTTCTAAAAGCCAGGAGGTGGAGGTGGGCCTTCGGGTCATGTGACCACTGTGATTGGCTGTCACAGTAGTCTCATGATCAGAAAGCTCCCGATCGCAAGTATGCATTGGGAGCTTACCGATCACCGCCAGCTACCGTTCTGAGAGAGTTTTAAGTTTCCAGTCACACCAGTGTGAATTGTTATGCATTTGATAGTTTAAAATTGCATGACAAGTCACACCTTATTGTCTGCAATCAAAGCGGTCAAATCGGTGCGACTGCGATTCCATCCGAGTAGCACCAATTTTGAAATGCACTTTCATGCACTACTTTATGCAAGTTCAGGCACGACTTGCATAGACATCTGTGCATGAAGTTGAATAGATGTCTTCCAAATCGCACTGATATCTAACTTTGAAACTGTGCAAATTAAAGTGAAGTCACACATTTCAAAGTCAGATCCAGTGTGACCGAAGCCTTACAGGGCCGGAAGTGATTGGAAAAGTTTACTTTTTTTAAAATAACAAACATGTCTATACTTATCTACTGTGTGCAGTGGTTTTGCATAGAGCAGCCCGGATCCTCCTCTTCTCGGGTTCCCCACCAATGCTCCTTGCCCCTCCCTCCTGTCAGGTGCCCCCCCCAGCAAGGAGCTTGCTGTGGGGACACCTGAGCATGCGTTCTCCCCAGCTGCTGCTCTGTGTGTCCATTTACACATGGATAAGTGTATTGGTTCCTCCTGCGCTAAATGAACTCTACCTAACCACAGCTGCTAACACCCAAACCCTTTACCTCAAAAGATTTATTTTTAGGGCTGCACCATATGTACACTATTTATGCCATTTACACATGGAGCCATGGCTCGATCCCGCCCCCTCTCTCTTCTCATTGGCTCACTGGCTGTGATTAACAAAAATGGGAGCCAATGGCACATCGCTGGATCTAGGGGGGCTTAGGTGAATTTAAGGTGGGGCTGGGGGGGATGCTGCACAGAGAAGGTTTTTTACCTTCATGCATTGGCTGGCTTTTTTCTGTTTTCCACAGCCCTGATGAAGGAATGGGTGCCTTTCCCCCCTGAACTACATTAGATTCTTGTGTACCCTGTGAACTTCAATAAACATGTTGTATAAAAGCCTGAAATGTGACATCCCTGCTTATCGAAAGCGCCTCCTATCTCTTCTACACATATCCTGCAGAGCAAATTCACGTCACTACCAGTGAGGCAGCAGCCGAGTCCCCATCAGGACTACTATTCCCTTCACCCTCATCAATCCAGGGGATCCCTTTAAAAAGCAACATATTACAGATCACCTCCAGGGATACCAGACTCCATATAGGTCCAGCGCTGTCTTATACATACATACATTTTTCTTCCATTCAAGGGATGGAAACACTATTGTGTAATTTCACAGTAGAGCAAACAGTGCTGCGACTGTTCATAGAAGTGGAAAATAACAGATCTATTGGCAGGATTAACAGGTAAAGACTAATGCACATAAGTGCAGACAACTGTAAAAGTGTGAAAAACAGCCATATTTCTGTGCTAAGGAGTCATAGATGTTGCATACAGCCGCCTATACAAATCAATGACAGGCTGCAATTGTGCATTGGTAAATGCAAATCCAAGTGTACATACATAAAGGTATGGATATATGTCCCTGAATGTAGACAGTCTGCACTCTGGCGGGGACATACACATGTACAGTTGTGTTCCAAATAATAGCAGTCAGACATCACTAACCTGATCAATCACTGTTTTTGGTAGAAATGATATTTCTACATGGCAAATAATTTACTAGCAGGTGTAGTAGAGTAATAAAAATCCAACAGACCCAACAGTCATGACATGCATGCTGCTGATTCTGTGTAATTGAATCACTAATTGAAAGGGGCATGTTCAAAATAATAGCAGTGTGGAGTTCTATTAGTGAAGTCATTCATTCTTTGAAAAACAGGTGGCAATTATTGCCCTTATTTAAGGAAGGAAGGCAGCAAATGTTGTACATTCTGGTTACAGTGCATTTCTCTCTGAAATTCTGAGGAAAATGGTTGTCCCAGACATTGTTCAAAAGAACAGCGTACCTTGATTAAAAAGTTGATTGGAGAGGGGAAAACATATAAAGAAGTGCAGAAAATGATAGGCTGCTCAGCTAAAATGATCGCAAATGCTTTAGAATGGCAACCAAAACCTGAAAGACGTGAAAGAAAGCGAAAAAACTATCATTGGAATGGATAGAAGAATAGCCAAAATGGCAAGGACTCAGCCAACAATCAGCTCCAGGAAGATCAAAGAAGGTCTAAAGTTACCTGTGAGTACTGTTACAATTAGAAGACGCCTATGTGAAGCCAAGCTATCTGACGTGCTGAAGAGGTTACAATTTGCCAAAGAGCACATTGACTGGCCTAAAGAGAAATGGCGCAACATTTTGTGGACTGATGAAAGTAAGATTGTTCTTTTTGGGTCTAGTGGCCGGAGACAGTTTGTCAGACGACCCCCAAACACTGAATTCAAGCCACAGTACACTGTGAAGACAGTGAAGCATGGTTGCGCAAGCATCATGATATGGGGATGTTTCTCATACTCATATATATCATGGATCAGTTTGAATACATCAGAATACTTGAAGAGGTCATGCTGTCTTATACTGAAGAGGAGATGCCCTTGAAATGGGTGTTCCAACAAGACAACGACCCCAAACACACCAGTAAACGTGCAACATCTTGGTTCCAGACCAACAAGATTGATGTTATGGAGTGGCCAGCCCAATCCCCGGATTTTAATCCAATAGAAAACTTGTGGGGTGACATCAAAAATGCAGTTTCTGAGGCAAAACCAAGAAATAGAGAAGAACTGTGGAATGTAGTCCAATCATCCTGGGCTGGAATACCTGTTCACAGGGGCCAGAAGTTGGGTGACTCCATGCAACACAGATGTACAGCAGTTCTCAGAAACAGTGCTTATACAACTAAATATTCATTAAGTGATTCAAAGGAAAGCAAAATCTTCAAAAATTTTTCAGTTTATATAGTGAATGTTTGAGTTTGTAAAGAAGAATACAAACACTGCAATTTTTTTGAAGAATCTAATATTCACTTTTCTTCAATTTTTTTAGAGGAACAACACAAATTTGATATATTTTTCTTTATGTTTTGTTTTGGAATAGAATGTGTAGTGTTCCCAATGCATTTGTGTGTATGGAAATAAAAGCTATCAGAAGGATTTTGAGCTTTATTCACTTTTTTCAACACACTGCTATTATTTTGAACACAACTGTATATGCTATTGCTGCAAACAATACCTGTGACATCAGGCTCAGGGATACAGTCGTTTTTTATGCTGTATGGACCTCTGCCTATGTCTGCATGAGCCCCAATAAAACTGTTACGGGGGAACTCCAACATATATGTCATTTTTTATTTTGTCCATACTTCTAAACAGCCAAAAACCAGAAGAGGATGTGTTTCTGCAATTGCTGAAGGCCCCCTATGATAAACGTGCCCTATAATACCCCGACTACATAAAATACAAAACAGCAAAAGCAAGCTGGCAGTTATCTGCTATGGGCAATGTTATCAGATTACCCATTAGGTACTTAGAGCGAAACAGAATTGTGCCAGTTATTACATCATGTTTTCCCTGTGAAAACAAGTAAAAAAACAACACAGTTTTAACACACAGTGACGTCTATATTGTGCAAAACATGTGATTCACTGGAGTAGTATTTATCAGCAAGGCGGGCAGTGATGCATGCATGTGGACGCAGGCAATCTTATTATATGAATCAGTAGTTCCGTGGCATTACGACCAGGTTGTTCTTCCTGGCTATTTATCTACTACAGCATATACTGTATGTGTGGCAAGGTTAATAATATTTAAATCCAATCACAACTGATATCTTTTGGAGTCACTCAAGGCTACAGAACTCAGGAAGACTATTGAAGCACTAACATCCTGTAACTTGCCATAAGCATGCTTATTTG